AAGGGCTGTCTGTAGTAATTTTATTTATTTCTGTGTTTATTGACTATCTTTTCCCTCTTCCTGCTCCTTCTTGACCAGGAAACCTCCATTTTAGAGGAGTACAACATTAACTGGACTCAGAAGTTGGGAGCTGGGATCAGTGGGCCTGTGAGGTAAGAGGGCCCCCCGGCTTTGGGGGGGAGCTCAGGGAGTATTTTGAATATCCAAAAGGCTTTTCGCAGAGTGTGATCCTTGGAAAGCTCCTTATAAACAACAAATATCTGCTCCATGAGGGTCCTGCAAGTGGGGTTTTATCTTTTTTGGGATGTATGTGCAGTAAAACCTCTCCTCGCCTCCCTGCCCGTCTCACACCGTGCTCCTGGAGTTGGTTGTGGCCACAGAAATTCCTCCTGGAACCCCAGGAATTCCTCCTGGAACCCCTCTGTCCTTGAATCCTGGTGTCCCTGCAGTGCAAAGGCTCCTCTGTGCCATCACCACTGTCCCTTTCCCGTTTTTTCCAGTTTTTTCCCCTCATCCTGTGAGGCCAAAGCAGACAATTCCATGGGCGTCCCAACCGTGTCCCTCACGGATTTCTAACCCCAGCACTGGCTGGATACTTTGTATGAAACAAAACATATATTTCCTTTTCAGCAAGGCCCCTGCCTTCAGGGAATGGGAATTTCTGCTGGAGAACAGCTGTTCCTGGGTGTTCCACAGGGTCCTGGTCTTTCCCCTCCGTTTGTCTCCTTGTCCAGCCCGTTGGTTTCTCCTCCTCCATTTTGTGTTGCCTCTGATCTCCATTAAAACACCCCCTTTGGGCTTTGCTCTGTTAAAATGTGGGCCCTTCCCTCAAATGTTTGTGTTAAATTGGGAAAAGAGATTAAAAAACAGTCAATGCCTGGCCAAAAACGAGGATTTCCATTCAGAAACTTTATTTATTAATCACAAACTCCCCCTTTCACTGGGGAGGCTCAGGCTGTGCCACTGTGTCTTGGTTTTTTTTCACCCAAAGTATCTCTTGGGGTTGAATTTTGAGGGAGTTCTGCTTGTCTGCTGTTCCCCCCTTGCTCTGAAATGCTTCTTTTTGCCTTGCTGGAAGTCAAATTTGGGTGAGGTGTTTCTACAGAACTCACTCGGTTGTTGTGGGAGGCTGAAAACTGAGGTTTTCAAGCCGGGCTGTGGGGAGAGGTGCCCTTATATCCCAGCTTAATTCCTGGTAATTCCCGCGTGGAGAACAAACTCAGATCAGTTGCTTGAAGTGTCTCTCAAACGTTCTTGCTGACTGAATTTTATCGCTGTAATACCAGAGTCTGCATGAAAAAATCCTCTCAAGAACGCTTTGCACTGAAAATCCTTCTCGATCGTCCGAAAGCTAGAAATGAGGTATGGTACCTGTTTTCTCCTGACACACCACAAAATCTAATGTTTTAAAAGAATGTTTTTATTAAAAAAAAAAAAAAAAAGTGTTTAAAAATGTTAAAACAAAATGTAAAAAAAAAAAAAAATGTTTTAAAAAACCCTCACGAAAGCCACGTTTGCTGTGCAAGATTCCTTCGGGTTGATCCTCAAGCCTTGCTGTCGCCACAAGATGAGGTGAGGGGTGAAAAAGAGGGTCCAGCTCTGTAGGAGTTGCTGCCCAGATATTTATTTAGAATTTGCTGAGCTGCATTTTAGAGCTGTTCCTCTCCCTGTGTCCCCTGTAACTCAACACAAGCGGTTTAGAGGGAATTTTGTTTCCATACATCTCGCTCTTGGATGTCACAGCTCTCGGGATTGCCAGGAATGCTTCGAGTTGCACTGGAAATGGATTTATCTGCGTGCCAGGAACTGAAATCATCTCCTGGTGCTAATTGTGACTTCCTGAGGCTGCTGGGAACGTGCCAAGGTGCCAAAAACTGTCAGGGTGTGAAACGCTGGGCACTCCTTCCAGCTGTCAGGAATTTGGAGAAGGATTAATTATCCCCAAGGTTTAGGCAGCTTGCATTTGCTTGTTACTGAAATTCACTGTTAAATTTCCCAGGGAAAAAATAATCTGTGTATAGGAAAGCATCATTGGTTTGGTTGAGCAGCCCAGGAAGCTTTAAAGTTGGGAAAATTCCTTAATTCCCTGTTCCAGAGTGTTGGGACAGGAGATGGAGTTTCACGCATGGAGTGCCAAAAAAGAAGCCAGATTATGGAATTTTAAGGTTTAATCATTAATTTTCACTTTCAGTCCTATCTCTGTTGGTACTTTAAAGCTAACCTTGTCTTTAAATTTATTTTAAAAACCCGAAGAAATAAAAAAAAAAAATAGACTTTCCCTGGAACTTTGAGGATGATTCCGCAGCTTGCAACAAATAGATTATTCCTTAATTTTCAGATAATTTGAAGCTGTGAGTGGTTTGAGGGGGGGAGAGGGGGATCAGAAGTGCCCAGAGCCTGTCCCTGCGTGCAGTAACAGCCCTCCCTTCTCTTCAAGGTACGTCTGCACATGATGTGTGCAACACATCCCAACATTGTGCAAATTATTGAGGTTTATGCCAACAGTGTGCAGTTCCCACATGAGTCCAGCCCAAGGTAAGATTACACAGGGGGGGCATTCCCAAAGCTTTCCATGTTTAGCCCAAGGTATAGAGCAGTTTGCTTTTTGTTGATGTTGTTGTTGTTGTTTTTCTTGTAATCACAGAATTATTATTTATAGGGGATCCCAGGTGTCGTATTTAATATCATGTTTATGCTTCAGACCAAGAAACTCTTGCTTTTTTCCCCTGGCAATGTGTATTTAAATTAATTTGCATCCTTTCCTACCTGTTTGAGAACATCTGCATTGATTCAGTCTGTGATATCTGTGCTGTGTGAGAGAAAGAATTGTTTCTAAGAATACTCAATTCAGCCCTGAAAATTCTCAATATGAACACAGAAAACCATAAAAACATGAAGCAGACTGATTTTTTTTTTTCTTGCATTAATCGTTTGGGATAAAAATATTGTCTTCTAATTGGTTATTAGTTGAGAAAAAGCATCAAAGATGAGAGAATTAAAGAGCTGAGACCTGTCTTAGTCTCTGATGTGTCTGAGTTTGCTGTATGGGGACAACTAGGAGGTAATTCCTTGAGGATCCAGCAGTCCTGGTCTCCATGTCTCCTGTATTTCTTCCTCATTATGGCAATCAAACTGTAAATTGAAATCTTGGGGTTAAGTGGAGCATCCACACCCAAAAGCATCTGTTCTTTGAGGGCAGAGTTACCCCTGGATGTGTCCACGTGGCTTCCAGGGCCAAACTGGGTGGAACCACCTGGGTGTGGATGTGTCCATGTGGACATTGTTCCATCAGGAGGAGCAAAGTGGGGATTCCTGGCTGAGTCAGGTTGTGCTGGGAGCCAGGAAATCCTGCAGTGTGTGCAGTTAAAACTGAAAGAACCCAGAGAACCAAAAGTAAAAGTACCAAAAGAACCAAAAGTAAAAATACCAGAAGAATGGAAAGTAAAAGAACCCAAAGAACCAAAAGTAAAAGAACCCAAAGTAAAAGTACCCAAAGAACCCAAAAGCAAAAGAAGCAAAAGTACCAAAAGTAAAAGTACCAAAAGTAGAAGTACCAAAAGTAAAAGTACGAAAAGTAAAAGAACGAAAAGTAAAAGTACCAAAAGAACCCAAAAGTAAAAGAAGCCAAAGAACCAAAAGTAAAAGAACCCAAACTAAGGAACCAAAGCAGCTCCAGAAACAAGTATCTTGGCCTGTCAGCAGATATAAAATACGCACTGTTAGTTCAGAAATTCTGTTCTATTTATTTTTTCCTTTCCTGATTTTGAACATAACAAGCTGCAATTTTGCACAGGGCTCGGCTCCTCATTGTGATGGAGATGATGGAAGGGGGAGAGCTCTTCCACAGAATCAGCCAGCACCGGCACTTTACTGAGAAGCAAGCAAGCCAAGTAACAAAGCAGGCAAGTCACCCCCCCTGTCTGAGCAAATCCACCGGTGCTGATGGCTAAACAGTCACAATTCCTTTGGGCTGGGAGGGGGGGGAAAAAAGGCCTGAGGAAAATAATCCTCTCTTGTGATCCGATGATCATTTGCCTGCTTTGTTATAGCCTGACAATGCCCAAGTTTGGTAGAAAATAGTAAAGGGTTTGAAGCTGTGGGCTTGTTCTTTGGGTCTGCTGTGTTTTTAACAGTGGTTTCCTCACCTGGTCAACAGAACACTCCAAAGAGAACTTTTTTTCCCTGCTGTGTCCTCTCTGTTGTCCTAAAAGCGTTGCCTCCAGCAGCCCCCCAGGCTCTTCATGGCTCCAATTGGATTCCAGCTGAGAATGTCACAAACTTCTCTCCTCTTTTGGGCCAGTGGTTTCCAAGCTGGGCTTTATGCTTGGGTTTATGGAAGTGCTGCCTTTCATGGGAGATAACAAGGAATCGGTGCCTGTTTTCTGTGCTGTTTGTTCTGGTGTCGTTTTCCCTTCGCTGTTTCTCTGCACAGCTCACTCTTGAATGCTGTATTTTAATTACGTTTGCATTTCAAATACAAAAAAGTGTTTTAAACACTCCATGGGGGGTTCTACAAGGGGTTTTGGGGTCCATCAAGCTCTTTGTTCTTAGCATCTGGTGTGACCCCATGAAATTCGGGGATCCCCAGGGTCAGCTCCCCTCAAAGGGGGAGAGAATATTTGGTACTGAGGCAAAAAAGAGGCCCAAATAATAACTTGGCTTTTGTTTTCTGTTTGCTCTGAGTGAAGCCCAAACTGAATCCTGGGTGGGATTTATGTCCCACCCATCACAGGTCAGGCCTGTCAGAGCTCAGCCTTGCACCCAAGTGCAGTGAGAGTGTTTGGGGTCTGACCTACACAGGAAATGTCTTTTTTTCTAAAGCTAAAATGATGTCCAGGCTGAAACGGGAGTTCTGTAACTGTAGCTCGTTTATTGTGCCCTTTTCCAGATAGCTTTGGCTTTGCAGCATTGCCACTCACTGAACATTGCACACAGAGACCTCAAGCCTGAGAATCTCCTCTTCAAGGATAACTCTCTGGTAAGATGAATACTGGAATTCTTTTTTGTTGTTGTTTTTTGTTTTTTTTTTTTTTGCTGCTGAATTCTGTAAAATGGTGATTTTCAGGATAGTTGTAAAATTACATTAATCACCTGCATTGACTTTGTTCTTGTGCATTCTCTGATCTCCCTGGAGCACAGTCTGTTAATTAGGAGGCAGGTTCTCCACCTCTGCACAAACCCAGCTTTGCTGAGGAGAAGATCCCTCTGCCACATAACCAGGATGTTCTGACGAGCATTAGAGGGGCTTTGATAGATCCAAACACTTCCTTGTTTCTTTTTCCTGCTCAAAACCACCCTGGACCTGCAGTGACCCCCCTCCAATGTGTTTATCACTTTCCCAATCTCAGAGGGGGCTGTTCCTGACCCAGAGCACTCAGGAAAGTGAAAATGCTTGTTTGAAAGATCAGTTTTTGTCCTTTTAGCTCTGGGGACTGTGGGGGTGTAAATACAGGCGAGGAGCACGTGTGGCAAAGGTGAGATGAGAACTGATGTGTTAGGAAAGCTGATACAACGAGAACTGTGTAAGGAAGCCTCTTCTCCTTCTTTCAGGATGCTCCTGTTAAACTGTGTGACTTTGGATTTGCCAAAGTAGACCAAGGTGACTTGATGACACCACAGTTCACTCCGTATTACGTAGCACCTCAGGTAACAACAATCACAATTCTGGGCTAAAAGGGAATCATTTCTTGCCTGTGCCTCCAGAACCACAGCATTCTAAAAGCCTTTGCTGTCCTGTTCAGGATTCCTGGGGGCAGGGATTTTGAATAATTGGAGAGTAGGCACCTTTGGAGCTGGAGTGTCACAGGGATGTGTTGATAAGAGCAGAGGATGGTGAGGCAGATTTCCCAGGCTGTTCTTAACTCTGATTTTGTCCATTGACCTTTAACTGCATTAAAGCAGCTGGTTTGGAGAAGTCCCTGCTTTCCCATCCTCCTTCCAGCTCAGGGTTATTCAGAATTACATTAAAAGTGACTGTGCTGGAACAAAAAGGCTCTGAAAAGGCTCAAAAAGGGCAGTGGTTACCTGGGCCCCTTGTCATTAAGGCATAATCTATAATTAACAGACAGGCTGCTCTTTGTAGTGCTGCTCTCCCCACTTTCTTCTGTCCTTTGTGTTGGAGTCCTGAAGAAAATGAAAAGAAAACTGCAGATGGATCTTTAATTGCAGTGCTGGGCATGTCAGAACCTTTAATCCCTGAAGGAAGAGCAACTCAGAGATCAGCCCCTGAGAATGCCTCCTCAGCTGGAGCCTCCTGGGCTTTCTGGAAACCCAAACCCTCAGATTTGGTCACCAAGGGACAGATTTGATGTGATTTGTTCCTGGGAGAGGCAAAAAGGGACATCTCTGGAGCTCAGGTTACCCTCCAAACACACTCCAGGTTCTAATTCCAAGCCCGGAGGTTTTGGAAGTTGGGAGCAGTTGCTTTAATTCAGGCAAAACTGATAAATTTCATTCAAAGCAGCAAAAATATTTTAGCTGAATGTAGAAAGTCCCAGTCTTTTTTTTTTTTTTTTTTAGGAAGAAAATTTTGAGTTTGAAAGGGCCTTCAGTAAGTTTACAGAATGGGAAAACATCAGGAATCTTTGTGCCTAGAGATGAGATGTATTTTGCTTTGTTTTTTTTTTTTTTTCCCTCTCATGGCAACAGGTATTGGAGGCACAGAGAAGACATCAGAAAGAAAAATCTGGTATCATCCCCACCTCTCCAACACCCTACACTTACAACAAGGTGAGTGGGAAACAGTGATTTGAAACGGTGTTTTTAAAGTGCCTTCCCCCACCAACCCCACTGCAGGAACCTGGAGGCACAATTTAACACCCAAGGCAATAAAGTTTATGGCCCTAAAGTGACACCCTTGCAGCAGCAATAAATTTGTTGTGGTTGTGTGGCAGGAATGCATCTGAAAAGCCAAACTATCTCACACTGAGAAAAAGCAGGAGGAACCGGCAGGGAGGTGTCGTGTTGTTGGTTATTTTGTGGCTTTTCTGAAGGAGTGACCAGGTTTGCAGTGGGATTTCTCCTCAAACAGGAGGTTCAGACCAGGTTGAAGTGGCAGATGAGGAGATGATTATCTCTGCAGGCTCTGTCCTGGTTTGGAAGTGACTCACTGAAAGTGCTGCTGCCTCTCAGTTCTTTCTGATGGAGTGAATAATGAAATGCACACTTAGCCCAGCCCTAATTAACGATCCTCTAATTAAAGGAGAAACACACAAACACTGTTAAGGAGCACTAAATGTGAAAAGATTTTGGAGGGAGCAGAGTGATTCTGCTGGAATGAGACCGTGGGGGAGGTTCTTTCATCCCAACAAGAGGCTTTTCAAAGGGATCCTCTTTCCTGCTGTCACCCAGAGCTTCTAGAGGTGCAGATGTTTTGCCCAGGCACCTGTGATGGAACCTGCTCTGTATCTGGGAACTTTCTGGAAAATGCCCAATATTTTGTGGTGTAGCTGCTGCTGGACACACAGTGTCCTGGAGGGTTATATTCCTTTTTGGGCATTCCGAAACCTTTCCCTCCATGTTCTCATCACTGTCTCCCGCTTGCTGAGAACCACTGGGTGTTCTTGGAGTGTCAACTTTAATTAAAATTAGCTGGTTTCTGATGCCAGTGCTAAGGCTCTACCTGAGTTCCAGCTGTTTAACTGGAGCAGGTGGTTTGATACGTGGTGTCAGGATTTTGTAGCCTCCCATAGAGAGCTAAAGCAAAGATGAACCACCCTGCAGGGGTCTCCTGACCACAAACCCACCTTGTGCAGGGTTCTGATCACCCTTTCTCCACCCTGGAGAGGCAGAGTGGGGGTTGAAGGCAGACACTTGGTCAGGAGTGGCTCCCCCGGTGTCCCAGCTGACCCCGGCCAGGCGCTGTCCTTGCTTGCAGAGCTGTGACCTGTGGTCCCTGGGGGTCATCATCTACGTCATGCTGTGTGGGTACCCCCCCTTCTACTCCAAACACCACAGCAGGACCATCCCAAAGGACATGAGGAAGAAGATCATGACAGGGAGCTTTGAATTCCCGGAGGAGGAGTGGAGCCAGATCTCCGAGATGGCCAAGGACATCGTGCGGAAGTGAGTCCGGGGAGGGACATGTTTTATTGCTTTTTCTGATGTTAAAAGGTGGGGAAAAAAATCCCTTGGAAGTGAATTATCCCAAAGGGATTGTTCTTCTACCTTGTCTGCAACTCATACAGCTGACAAATCTTCTGTCTTATTCAGCGTAAAATCTGGTAGATACTTTTCTTCCCTTCTTTTTTTCCATCCCCAACTGTTTAATTTTGATGTCTCTGAAGTTCTTAAGAGGGAATTGTGAGTTTAGTCTTTAAGGGCAGCAGATGCACTGGAGGGTTCAGAGCAACACACCCAACTGGCTGCCACATCAAGTGCTCTCCAGCCTTGGATCCCCTACAATAATGTTTCAATGCCTGCTAAAATCAGGTGGCTTAATAAGATCTGATAAGATCTGTCCCTTAAAATTGAGTGCACATCATACCCAGTGTGAAAGGAGTCAAGAGAGGCAGGGAAAGGCAGGGTAAGATCTGTCCTGAGGTGTCAGGCCCTGGGGTTAGGCTTTGCATTGATGTTTTATTCCAAATGCTCCTGAGAGCTGGTTTTTCTGCATGCCCTGCACATCTCTCAGCTGGGAGAGAATAAAACCAACATAAATAGGGAAAAAATCAACTTGGGGAAGTAATTTTAAGGTGTCACTGGCTCCTCAAAGACGCTGTAAAATCTCCAAGGACTTCACATTGCTGGCACCTTTGGAGCAGTGCAGGAGAACCCCCAACCTTTCACCAAATAAACTGCAGTGAAACTTTGCTTTACACAACAGGTTTAAAGGTTTTATTGTCCTTTAAAATGACCATAAACTCAGATCCCAGAATGTCGTCAGGTGGATTCAGTTCACTTATTTATCCCACTGATGTCATCAGGACTCGTTTTCCTGCCTGCCTTTTCCAGCCAGGGAGTCTGAAGTTGGGGTTATGGGGCAGGAATACATTCAGAATTAATAGAATTGTGGCTTAGTTTAAATTTGGTGGGTGTGGGCAGCTCTTCCTGTGGAGTCTGGCTTTTGGAGCTCATATTTGGTACCAGGAAGCTGCCAAGTGTGTAGCCCATTTCTCACCTCAAGCTTTGGGAGCTGGAGGGCTGGATAATAGGTCAGGACTTGGAAAACCCATGGAAAAGGAATGCCTGGGTCTGGTATCAAAACTGAACTTACAGCCTGGTGGGCAGCGAGATTTCTGAGCTCCCCCAGGGTCCTGCTGTCATTCTGCACGAGTTATTTCCACTTCCTTGGTACATTAAACAATGTTTGCAGCCAGGAACTGATTTAGGGAATTGCCTAAGGAATGTGACAACCTCCTGGAGTCCTCCTGGTTCTAATTCAGACTCCTGGGAGAACTTGTCAGCACTCTGGGTGGAATTTGGCTCTTTTTGTTGACCATGAGTTTATCTGCAAAACCTCTTTCCAGGGTTTCATTCTAGTAACATTTATTCCATGGCTTTTTTAGCTGTAAAGAATAAAGTTCCTTCTTATTTTGAGGAGCTGGAGCCTCTCAAAAGTGCCCATTCCGTGAGGGTTTTGCAGGGGAAGAAAAGCTAAGGATTTGTAGGTGGAAACAGTTAATGCAGTGAAGTTTCCATGTCCAAAATCCTTGGACTGAGTGTGGCCTGTGATGGGGATGAGCTCCAGAAGGGCATTTCCAGACAGTGTTGGTCTGGATCATTTCCAGCTCCTCTGGGAGGTAATTTCCAGTCTGAGAACACACAGATATTCCTGAAATGGCCCTTCAGCACCTTTCCTTTACCGTGAATCCCTGAATTTACCTGGATGAGCTTGTTAAATAAATCCACAGCAAGGCTCAGAGAACCTGGGACAAAGTCAGGCTGCTTTTGGGGCAATTTGAGCTGTTGTTGAATTCCTTTTTGACCCCTGTGATGCTCAGAGATTGTTCAGTGCTCTGCAAATCAACAAACCTCCCCTTTATGGATTGTTATTTTTCCTTTCCCAGGCTGCTGAAGGTCAAACCTGAGGAGAGATTGACCATCGAGGGGGTGTTGGACCATCCCTGGCTCAACTCCACAGAGGCCCTGGACAACATCCTGCCCTCTGCCCAGCTGATGATGGACAAGGTCGGAATGTTTGTTTGGTCAGGAATGTTGCACAGGAGCAGGACAGCTCTTGGATAGTTGGAGTGGTTTCTTCAGGAGAGCCTGAGGTCTCTGTAGGGAAATGGAAACAGGGAGAAAACGGAAATAAATGTGAAATTGGGCTTGGGGGAGGTGCTCCAGGATTGGTGTTAAGAGCAGCCGTGTGCTGAGGAGCAGAGAGCAAGCATGGAATTGGAATCTTTTCTCCTTTTCCCCCCATTTTATCCCCTTACTGTGACCTCAGTCCTTGTTTCCTTTCAACTCTGCTCGAAGAGGAGTTCACTCAGCACTCAGATGTGGTGAACATGAGCAGTACAGATGATCCTCTGTCCTGTTTCCCCCTGTGAGGTTGAGATATATTATCCCACAGTCTCTGACTGTAGTTCTAATCATGTCTTGCTTCATGCAAACCTGATTTTTGTTCCATATCTCCAAAATAAACAGGATTTTGGTGCTTTTTTCCCCCCACTGTGCACACACTGCTCCTTAATTCCCAAAGGAGGGTGAACTCAGGAATTCCTGAATTCCCAAAGGATCTAAAGCGCAACTCTTCACCCTGCAGGCCATGGTTGCAGGGATCCAACAGGCTCATGCAGAACAACTTGCAAACATGAGGATCCAAGACCTCAAAGTGAGCCTGAAACCCCTGCACTCCGTCAACAACCCCATCCTGCGCAAGAGGAAACTGCTGGGGTGAGTAAAAATGGGGTACCAAAAATGGGGTAACCAAAGCTGGGCTAACTAAAGCTGGGCTTCCATGGACACTGCAGCAGAGCTTTGGGAATGTCCCAGGCTCAGTTCCAAGGAAGGGTTGAACTCCTGGTGTGGTTGGAGTCACTGGGACAAGGTGGTTTCAGTCCCAGGATGTTCTGGTGAGGGCAGGAGGAGCTGGATCCTGTTACTGTGTTAGAGCAGATCCCTTAGGAGAAGATGGGTCACGTGCAAGAGAAGGCAAACTGGGAGAAAGAATTCCAAGATTTTTTTTTTTTATGATCCTGACACTTATTTACTGAAAAAGGCAGGTAATTTCTCTTTGTTTGAGCGAACCTGAAAAATAGGATAATGCGTTTTAGGGCTTCCTTGAACTAATTTAAAGGAATATTTCTTTTTCAAATGGTCTCATAATAAAGGACAACAATTATAATTAATGCCAAGTCTGTCTCCCAGCTCTCCAGGGAGTGAGGGAGGGGTTTTACTGGTGCAGTTATGCAATGAGTAACGAACTTGAGCTGTGACCAAGCTCCAATTATTTCCTCCTTGTTCCTCCCCAGCACCAAGCCAAAGGATGGGGTTTATATCCATGACCCTGAGAACGGGAGCAACGATTCCAACGTGGCTCTGGAAAAGCTGAGGGACGTGATTGCCCAGTGCATTCTCCCCCAGGCTGGTAAAGGTTGCCACTTTTAACAAAGTTCCATTTCTAAACCTGCGAGACACTGACTTTGGGTCAGTGGGGAGGGAGGAAAAACAAAACTGCCGCTGCCCTGGGCACGCTGTGGGCTGGGATTTGGGTGGTGTTGGTGGGAACAGGGACGTGCAGAGCTGGGAAAAGAACTTCCAGCCGGCAAGGGTTGCTCTGAACCCGTTTCCTGGTGTGTGTGGGGAGTGGAGGGACAACTGCACTGTTGGCTGAGTGAGGCATGAGGCCAAACCTGCTGGTTCTCTGTGTGCTCCCAAACAGGAGAGAATGAGGACGAGAAGCTGAACGAGGTGATGCAGGAGGCCTGGAAGTACAACCGGGAGTGCAAGTTGCTGCGGGACACCCTGCAGAGCTTCAGCTGGAACGGTGAGGAGCTGCTTCCTTCCTCAGGGAAGGGGGAAAACTGGGACCTTCTGATGTGGGAATCACCCCAAATCTACTGAATTTGGGCTGGTTTAGGTTTCACATTGTGTCAGGCCTCCTGCCAGAAGGGGGGTCCTCAAAACCAGGGGGAAAGTTCTGCTTTAAAATCTCTGTTTGAGGTTCAGGGTCCAGTTTTCAGAGGCACCAAATGGTGTGGGAGCAGAGCAGCACAAATGGAAGTTGTGATGGGAATGGTTTTAAACTGCCAGAGGGCAGGGTTAGGTGGGAGATTGGGAAGAAATCCTTCCCTGTGAGGGTGATGAGACCCTGGCACAGGCTGCCCAGAGAAGCTGTGGCTGCCCCATCCCTGAAGTGTCCAAGGCCAGGTTGGACGGGGCTTGGAGCAACCTGGGCTAGTGGAAGGTGTCCCTGCCCATGACAGGGGGTGGAACTGGATGGGCTCTGAGATGCCTTCCAACCCAACCCCTCGTTCTGTTTTGCTTGGTTGGGTTTAATTCAGGTCTTTGAAGTGCTCAATTTTCCACCAGAACCAGACACTGTAACTCATTTTGGTTCTCTTGCCCTAAGTTTGTGTGGACCATTGTTTAACTCCAGCCAGGATTTCCTCCCTCCCTTGTTCCCAGCACCTGACTCCTTGTTCTTTCCCTTGCAGGCAGAGGATTCACAGACAAAGTGGATCGACTAAAACTGGCAGAAATCGTCAAACAAGTCATCGAAGAGCAAACAAACTCCCACGACTCTCAATAGCTGGAGCTTCTTAATCTTATTTTTTTTACCATTTAAGATTTATTCTTTAACTGTAAAAAGTATTTTTATGTAAATTAATAAATCATAATTATTTCATTAAATTTCCATACTGCTTGAAAATGCTGTATAGTTGTAGATACAAAAAAGAAGAAAAAAAAATCATTGGTACTGTAATATTTTTTTAAAACTCAGTTCCTTGAGGTCTCTATGATCACTTATGTACTGTTAATCATGAGGGCCCCAAAAGGGGTGGATTATATTGCTAAAGACCATTCTTTTTCTTAATAACCAGTTGCAGGAGCTGCTTCCATCTGCCCCATCCAGCACTGCAGTGACTGTGAATGAGAACAAGAGCCACAGTTTAACCCCCTGCTCAGTGAGTACTTGAAGCAAGTGCTGTGAAACACAAATTCATAGCTGCTCTTGGCACCTAAATTCTGATTCTTTAGGTAGAGGCAACTAAATTAAATAACCTTCAGTATGGCTCAGTGCCCTGAGAGCCCCCCTTGGCCTTGCCCAGGGCACCTGAGTCCATGTGCTTGCTGGAATGTTCAGTTCTGAGCAGTAACTCTCCTCTTTTTGTCTCCTTCCCATCTTCCCCAGACCTTCTTCGAAGCTCAATCCTCTCTCTTTCTCCCTCTTCATCTTCCTCAGACCTTTTTTAAGGCTGAATTCAGCATAAAACTCTTCTTTTTCTCGCCTCCTCCAACAGCAGAACAGAAGAATGTTCGAGTTCTTATTACAAGTTGTTTTTATTTTCACGGTGGGATCTTCTGTGGACAAAACCCAGCGTTGGGTTTGTTTCCTTCAGCCCTCAGTTGTGTGGGATCCACCCCTGTATTCCCGTTCTTTCCCTTCTAGGAGATCCAACTCTTGGTTTTAGACTCTTCCTCTTGTCTGAGGGATTATCCCTGTGGGAACCCCCAGGGATCCATGTCCTGTGTCCCCTCCAGAGCCCAAATTCCCATTTCTATGATGCCTTCGAGCTCCTTTTTGGGGGAGCCACAACTCCAGGGCTGCTCCTTCCCACAGGTCCCTTTGCTGCCTCCCCAGGGCAGGTTCTTACCCCAGTCTGGAACATTGGCTCCAAAAGCTGCTTTTTTTAACCTCAACGAAGCAAACAAATGGACAGAACCTGTACATATTTCTAGTTTTCTACCTTTGGCTGCTTTTCTTTCTTTTGGGACTGGGTGGAGGCTTTTTATAGGGGTATTTTGGTACCAAACCCTGTGCAGACACCGAGTGAGTTTGGTCTGTACTGAAGTGCCAATTCAGGGCTACGAGTAACGACTTCGTTGTGTTTCAGAGCTCCTCACTTTTGGGTTTACATCGACAAACCTGAGCCATGAACCCCCCCAGTTCTCTCTTAGGGCAGTTCTTTGTTGTCTCTTTTCTACACCGAACTCCCTTTAACTGGTGGCAAAGCAGTGTCTGACTCTTTCTGTACAGTTTTGTAAGGGGTGATTCAGTTTTTCTACGTGAAGGAGATGCTTCATTTCCCCTTCTCTGTCTGCTCCTTGTCAGCTTTCCTTCAATCCTGATTTCATTTTCCAGTGCCTGATTCATTGCAGAGGAAGAACAGTCCCTGTTCCACCATCCCTGTGATGGGGAGCAGGGAGTGTTTGTGTGGGCCAGAATCGCCCCTCTGGCACCACGTGGGATATTTGTGCACTGACCTGTCCGTGAAAACTGAGAGAGAATCAGCAAGAAACAAGAATATTTGTCATTTCTTGGCTGTGTCAGCAACTTTGCAGGGCCTGTGATGTGCATTTCTGTCATTGCTCTCATCCTAGGTCATGTCAGCATCCACCTGAGTCTGGAAATGTAAGAGGTGGTTTCACTTTTAACTTGAAATCCGTGTTTTTTTCAGGGAAGTGGAAAGTGTTAAGTGTGGCAAATGGAGATAGAAACAGGGAAATCACCTGTGTTTGAACAGGAGTGCAAAAAATTCCCTCCAAAGGCACTTTGTGACTCTGCCCTCCAAGGAGGAAAACACTCAGGCAGTTCTGTGGGACACAGAAGTTGGCAGGAAAGGTGGATCAGATTGGAGCTACTCCCAGGGTGAGCACTGGAATTGTTGTCACAAAGAACTGCTTTTTATGGATTTACTCTAAATTTTATTGTCTGGGATAAGTAAGAAAAGCCTGATCTGAAGCAGAGGGAGGAGGGACAGATTAAGAAAACACAGTTGGAAGCTTCAAGGTCAAATGGTTTTATTTCTATGAGAAAATTGTTTTTTTGTTGTTGTTGTCTCTTTGAAAAGTTAAGTTTTACATTTCGAAGTTCAATACACTTGAATGGATTCCTTTTCACATTTTAAAGTAGCATTTGACTTTCTCCTTCCTGTGTTTTGTTTTGTTTCTCAGTTGACACAAATGCAGGACACCTTGTCTTGATTCTGTAAGGTTTTACTTGGTGATAAATCTACTGATCCTCTTTGGCAGACTGTGAATATTGTAAATACCTGGAGCTGGAAGGGTTGTATGGGATCAAAGAAGACTTTGTACAAACACTTAAAATGTGGGAAAGCTCTGTAGATTTTTTTTGGGTTTGTTTTTGGTTTTGTTTTTAGAATTTTATTTCAGTGAAGGAAAAAAATCTCTGAAATCATTTGACCTTTTCCAAAATTTGATGTATATCTGACTTCTCCTGTGATGGATTATTTTAAGCTTTTATATCTGTGTTAAAAATCAGAAGAACCTGACTGGGCAAAAGAGGTTTTGGTTGGCAATAGCAACGTGTCAAAGTTTTGCTGTCATTTACTCCTGGTTTGCATTTTGGCAATCCCAGTCTGTCCCCACATGCCACGTTTGACTTCTGTGTGTTGAGATGTTCTCATTTCTCTCCTCAGTGTTCCCTGGTAGTTCCTCTGGGATCAGTATTATATTGTAAATATTCCCCCTCGGTGTATATAAAGGATTTTACTAAACTCAACAGTTCCTGCCTGCTTTTGTTTGGTTCCCAGATGGCTGTGGGGCAGGAGGGAGGAAGGACAGCTCTGGGATTCTCCTGCTTTTCCCTGGAAGTGTCCAGAAGGTTTGTGGGTGGTAAATCAGGGGGTAAATCAGCACTTGGGCCCATGGGTTAGAGGTTGAACATGGTGGTAGTGGGTTGATAGTTGGACTCAGAGGGTTTTCCATCTTTAAGGATTCCATTATTCTCTTGCCCCACTTCTCCCTGGAAGTGCCCAGAAGGGGTGTGGATGCAGCACTTGGGGACAGGGGTTAGTGGTGAATGTGGCAGTGCTGGGGGAATGTTGGGCTCAGTGTTAGAGGGCTTTTCCAAGTTTATTATCCCATTATTCTCCTGCCCCCCCTTCCCCAGCCCTCTCCTGCCACGCTCAGCCCCGATCCCACCTCCCTCACCAGTGGGAATAAGCCCTTGGCTTTACATTTTGTGAGATGAAGGGATGACTGACAGGCTGGGCTGGATAAATCCCTAGGAATTTCGGTGCCATTTCAGTGCCACTGGCACTGGGAAGCGCTTCCTGCAGGATGGTGATCAGTGCAGGGGCTGCTCGGGAGGTGGGGAAAGTGGGAGCCCTGATGGAACCCCAGGCAGGACTGGGAGCTGCTGCTCCATGAGAAGTGGGCTGGCCTGTGTTCAGGCTGGCCCTGGGCTTTCCCAAGGAGCTTGGAGTGCTTCCCCTCACCCTTCAAACAAACTCCCCTCAAACAAACCCTGAGTGATGTGTTGAGCTCATGAGGGGCTGTCAGCATCCCCTCAGCGCTCTCACTGCCACAGCTGAAGCTCCATTAGCAATCCTGGCATTGTTTCCCAGATAATCTTCCCTCACTTCCCACTCCTGAAGCCTTAATCCCCTTTTAACCAAATTGCACTGGCTCTGTCCCTGCTGTCCCCAGACGGGGTCAGCCCGGGCAGCCTCTCAGGGAGGACAGGGGGGTGATCGATGTGCCGCTTCCTCCTGTCCCTGTGCCAGGGAACAGGTCCCATCCTCCCCCTGGAACTCCTGGGGGCTACACAGCCTGTAGGACAGGCATTCCAAGGAAAACTGTCCCCAAGGCAGGGAGAAACAGCCGGGCTGAAGTGTCCTGTGTCATCAGGGGGTAAATCCCCCCATTCCCCTCGGGCAGAAGGGCTTTGCAATATAAAACCTCCCTGTGTTTACCTGTGGCTCCCAAGGGGCTGTTATGGCTCCCCTTGGGACTGGAGAAGGATTTAAAGGAGCAGGTGGAAGAAGATGCCTCAAAAGCTGCTGAGAGTTAAAACTCCCCTGTGTGGGGCTTCCCGGGGCAGCAGTGGAAAGCTGCTCTCAGGCACTGGACTCGACCTCCAGCTGCAGAGGACTCATTAAAACTGAACTGGATGCAGATTTTTATCCTGTGGAACAGCAAAATTGAATTGTTTTGCTTAGCCTCACTCTGTAAGAGAAAACCAGTCACTGACCAGAACAGCCAGGGGCGTCGTGTGACTGACACACAGTTTACACAGTTGTGTAAGTTAATTACACAAAACTGGAGTATTTCCTCTTCTTGTATAACCTGCTATGGGAAAAATTTGGGTTAGATCCAAAAAGTGAAGCTGTTAGAAAATGAAGAGTGTAAATTAAAGGAGTTGTTTTCAACCTAGCTAAAGGGTTTTTTTTATTTTCTGTATAATGGAGGGACCTCAGTAAATAATTCACTTGAGCATCTGGAAATGTAGAGAGAGATTCAGATTTAATCCTGCTCACCTGGTTCATGATGCTCCATAGGGTTGAAGAAGCTGCTTTTTTGTGAGTGTTGTGGCTGAGCAGGGGTTGGCACGAAGAACAGAAAAAGGAAATGTGCAGAATTCCAGGCATGGAAGCGAGCACTGATATTTTTATGTTTCCCTGCAGTTGGCTCTTAGTATGGTGCATGTTCTCATGGTTATAGTGAATTCAAAGTCAGAGATAGGAAAAATATTCACTTCGTTTTACTGTTAATTTGTAATGGCAAATACTTCAAGAAATAAAACAAACACTTGGAGAATCAAAACGTCCTCTGCTGGAGCTGGCTGAGACCTCTGAGCTGTTACACACCATCTGCTGCACTTCTAGGGATATTTCCAGAAGCAGAAAGTCTGGACTAGAGATTTAGCATGTTGAAAGAATCCATTTAGAGTCCTTGTGACCTGTAAAATAAATAACCGTCATCTCCACTGAGTGTCTCTGACAGCCCCGCTCGGGCTCCTCCATCCCCACGGCTGGGACAGCTCGGAGCCCACAGCCCCATCCCGGGGCTGGATGACATTCCTAAAACACCAGGAGGAGTTGGCAGGACACTTCAGAGCAGGGTGGAGCCCTCAGTGTCTGGGGGGCTGGTGGGGGATGTGCTGGAGTAGAACTTCTTCTGGGAGCGCAGCAGAGGGGTCTGGGTGTCGACGTCCCGGCGGGCGCCGCGTTTGAGGGACAGGAACACGTGCTGGGTCCAGCCGTACACCAGGCAGTTCAGGAGCCCCTGGGAAGCTGCTGTGAGAGCCTGGGAGAGAGCACAGGGAGGGGGATCAGGGCTCCTGGAATGCAGCACTGCACAGTGCTCTGAGCTCCCTGCCAGCCTGGAAAACCTCCCGCTTCCAGTATGGTTTTATTCACCTGCACCCCCTGTGTGATAGAGCAATCCCATGATTTTTTAAAAATAAATAGTTAATAAATATCTAATTATAGATAAACCCATAGAAATGTATTTTCCAGAAATATATTTTTACATATATATAACATTTTAAATAATTATATAAGATAACACAATTTCTAAATCCTGTCTCAGCCACAAGAAGCAGATGGAAAAGTGTCTGGAGACTTAGGGACACAGGGAAAACATGGAGACAGAGGGGAAAAAAAAAACCAAACTGGTTTCTGGGGATCCTTTCTAGTCCTGTTTGCTACAATTTCCATGATGACAGAATTGCTGAGGTTGGAAAAGGCCTTTCAGATCATCCCAGCACCACCACCATGTTCTCCACTGCACCGTGTCCTCACGGTGCTGGATTTTGGTCACTGAGACCTTTCCACATAAATCACCCAACAGAGATCTTTGCCAACCAGAAGCACAGACACAGAGTGATCCTTGTCCAGCTGCATCCAGCTGGGACCAGCCTCAGGATTAGGAGGCTCAGGGTGAGAAGGCAAAGCCTGGGAGGCTGCAGGGGCAGAGATTTACCTGCAGGATCAGCAGGGCCATGTAGATCTTGCTGCTTGTTGAAACAGTCAACTTCAGCATTCCAAGGAGGACAGCTGTGAACAAGGAAGGAGAAGAAGGTGCTGTTTTAACCCCACCTCTCTGGAGTTGCACGGGGGAACACTGTGGGAGGAACTCAGCTCTCTGCTCACCTGGGGCCCAGCAGCAGAAGAACACGACGGGGTAAAAGACCACTCGTTGTTCCACCATCTTAATCATGGCCCACTGCTGGTCCCCCAGGAACCCTGTGGAGTTCACAAACCTCTTGTACAGACCTCGGGCCTGGTTGAGGATCACCTGGAAGGGAACAGGCAGATGGTGTTGTTTGGGCTGAGAGCTGGTGGGCTCATCCAGGACAGGTCCCACCTCAGTCCATCCAGCCTTTTCACACAACAGTGGGGGAAATCCTGGGGGAGATGCTGCTTTGCACGTGACCTTTTCTAAACTGAAGACTCTGAGCTGATTTGGACTCTTAAAATCATAAAATCAAAAAGGAAAAGACCTCCAAGATCATGGAGTCCAAACATTAATCACCTCCTGCTGACTGTGCAGTAGGTCAACTCTGCTGCCAAGTAGAGCCTTCTCTACCTGCTAAATCCTTTTTGGGATGGGCTGACAGAACACAGGACTCCAGATGGATTGATGTGGTGGCACAGTGCTATTTTCCCTCCCCTACCACCCCTTCCAAAAGGGAAGCAGCAGCACACAGTTATTACCCTGCCATATTTACAAGAGCATGTGGTGGAAGGACAAGGGGGAATGGCTTCAAACTGAGAGGAGGCTTAGATGGGATGTGGGGGAGAAAGGGTGGTGAGACCCTGGGAGGGGTTGCCCAGAGCGGTGGTAGAAGTGATAGAATTGTTCCAGGCCAGGTTGGATGGGGTTTGGAGCAACTTGGGCTAGTGGAAGGTGCCCTGCCCAAGGCAGGGGGTGGGACTGGATGAGCTTTAAGGTCCCTTCCAACCCAAACCACTCCACGTGACAGCCTGGCCTCTGGAGCCACCCAAACAAAGATGCAGAGATGCAAAGGCCCCTGTTTCTTACCAGAATGGCCACGAAGCTGATGAGGAAGGAGACGAGGAAGACCCCGATGCCGTAGAAATGCATCGCCCGGCAGACGGAGCCGCTCAGGCTCTGCGGCTCGCTGGTGGTCACGGCGATCTCCGTGTGCATCAGCAGACAGCTGTGGGACAGAGGGGACAGCCTGAGCTCCTGCCCTGCCCTGGCAGCCCTGGGGCTGTGTCAGAGGGGCTGAGGCTCACCCGTGCTTCTGGCTGAAGTTCTGGTAGCAATTACTGCTGTTGCCCAGGCAAAACACCGGCACCATGAGGAGGAAAGGGATGAGGCTGAGAGGAGACAGGACAACAGCACAGCTACTGGTTATTGCACTGCTCCATCCCACCCCCAGCAAACACCACTTGGTTTTTCTCCTGTCACTACAGAGGAGTTCAAAGTTGTTTTTGTTGACATTGCTCCAGAAAAGTATTTTATCGGCTTTACCAACATCGGTGCTTTCATTCGTGAGGGCTAATCATTGGTAAAGGGAGCACCTTCTGGAAAACCACATCCAGTTAATAAAGTTATGATTAACTTGCTTAAAAAAAACCCTCTTACTCTGTGTTTGTGAGGTCACTCTGCTGTTAATGGTGAGCTCTGCAGGCTTTGGTAAAACTTGCTTCAAAACAAGTAGGAAGCAGAGATCAGCACACTGCAGTTTGCCAAACCACATCATCCTGCCAGGGAGAGGGAGAACTAAACCTTAACCAAACCC